GGATGTTCATCACGACCCATCGGATTTGGAAGCAAGTATTATGAAAAAGGCTGAACCCTTTAAAAGTAAGTCAAAATAATGAATTACACGCAGTTTATTCCTATCCATCTCAAATAATAACGACTTCTTGTATTTTCATCTGATCTAATCCATGTTATTAGCCTATCAATAACTACAGCTGTTTGATACTTTGCTGACGGGGACATTGTATAAATGAGTGCGGGTTAGTAGTTCTCTAGATGTGATTTTTAAGATTCATTCACAACGTCACTTGCATCTATTGAGCATATCAAGATGTTCGTCTAGCTCACAACGAGTAGTGTTTTTGTGTTAAGCATTTAAACTGTATTGCTGTATAAACGTCGTTTATGTGATTATAATGAGAATTAATTTCACCTTCAGTTTACCCCAACATTTACTTCATATTTTTTTATTTCCATGTCGTCATTGCTAATTGCAGTATGCAAATTCTAGTGTTCAATTAACATAGAGAGTTTATCTGAGATCACAGCAAAATCTTGACCATTATCACCTCTCCTTAAATGTTTGCCGAAATGTATGTAGGTTTTATACAGTATGGGTACATCACGTCGACTTAAATAGCCGAAGTTTTGGTAGGGCATCCTAAATTTCCAACGCGTTTGCCAGATTGCTTTTAAGTTAAGAATTTATTCAGTTTGTGTGTACCCGCTTTCTGAATTTTCCTATCGATGTACGAGACTACAACTAATCAGTCTGTTTTGACAGTTATGCTTTCACTTCGATATTGTCACTAAGTCACAAGTGTTTCTGGAAGAGATGGACGGTAGCTAGCGGAATCTCGAAATGAATATGAATTTCAGGATACAGTGGTATTCAGTTAAGAAGCCTATTTCTCCTACATCAGTCACCATACATCTCTGATAACAATTTATTTACTCCAGATCAATATGGTTTCTAATCAGACTGAATATGCAACTAGTGAAGTGATTTGTCTTTTACTATTTCTTCTGTAAACGAATTAGATATGACATATGAGAGCGAACGCGAAAGATGTAGCAAGCTGATACCAAAATATTCAAAAGGTAAATTTAATTTAATTATCACTCTATTGAGATTAATGAATATGACAGATATAACCTGACATTCCTTGCTGGAATTCATGCTCACCAATACTTTCCACTAATCTTCAAATGTGTTTTCCAGAATATCTAATTGTTTTCCTTAGGTACACTGAACTTGTGTTTCCTCAATCATAAAATCACAGAACCGACCATGTTCTGTTGGTAGCTAAGTCAAAATAATTAGAAATAAAAATGCGACAAACCATGAATCACCTCCGATTGCATTTCCATTGGAAACGAATATTAACGCATGTAATATTCATGAAGGAATTAATTCATGTTATGGAACAAATCTCGTCAAATGAATAAAAGGTGAAAGCATGGACTAAATATTCACAATGACTATGACAAATAAGTGGGGATATCGGGGAATGGCGAAAAGGACAATGTGACTCTCCGTTATTCTTCCACAATCCATCTAGTCTTCACATATGTCGGTTTTCATCACTTTGATGCTGAAAACACGTTGAATGACTCCTTCAAATAAACGATATTCATGGATGATTTCCTAACCGATTTTATTTTGTATTTCAGAATTGATACGAATTATTCGACTAATTTCTTTGAAATGCATTGATGTTAAATCTTCGAATATCCAATCCTGTAAGATAAAATATTTGAATATTTTGATTGTTTTATTGAATAACTATGTCATGTCCACATGTAATTTGCTGAACAATGGTTATCCACAAACTGTAATACTATGTGAAGTGTCTACAGAAGCTTCAACCTGATGGTTTAATAAATGAACGTAATCAGAATGACACGGAAGCTTCAAATGAAATTGAACAGTTTGTTGGTACTAATCCGAGATCGAACATTCTTAGTCAACGCATCCACCATGTTTGTGATAGTTCTTCATTCAAATATCAAAGTTGAGATAGTGAGGTTGCGTTTCACGATGCCAGGCAATTCGATAGAACAAACTTGGCTAACCGACAAACAAAATGCAAGTATTCAGCCAACACATCACTTTCACATGAACATTGTTGAACTAGTAAAACGTTTTGAACAATTGCCTATAAAAACACCATATGTGACATAAACGGAAAATAACCACCGATTTATTTTCTTAGTCTTCTCATTAATGATGAGATAGATATTGAAGTAAATGAACATTCAGTCATTTGGTGATTCATTTCATTTTCCCACATTTCAGTTAAGCATGATTATCTATCAAAAATACTCAAAGCGATAAGTAAGTAACCTATTGAATCAAATCTACTGACAATATTATGTAGTATGTGTTGTATGTTGTATGGAGACGACCTATTCTGTGTTTGGATAATTGAAATACGCAAATTAGAGTTACGTACAACTACACGTCGGTTCACTCGATTTAATACACAGTTGCTTTTGAATTGAAATATCTATTCAAATGGATATTTGAGAGACAGTCTAAGGAAAAGTAGATTTGAATAAATGTTTACGATTGCAGTTGACACTCGACAACATGGTGATTTTCTGATCCATTACTCCAGTGGGATTTACATCATGTTTGATCAAATGAATACATACATGTTGATCAAGACCCATTAAACAGTGTTACTTTCGTCCAGTCGTTCATTTCAAATGCACACTTGTATGATTTGTTATATTACACATCATTCTTTTGTTTCTGTTTGAATTACAGGTAAAGATGGAAACTAAACGAATTTGAATTTGCGAACGCTGAACTGAACTTAACTCATTTCTCATTTACCCATATTGTTGTAACAATTAATTTACTGTTTAAATAATCAATCACAAATTTCTTCTTTCATTAACAATATTCACCGTTAATATTAACTAACTCTTATTTGTTTATGTTGAAAACATTGATGCTGTAAGCCATTGTAATGTGTGAAATTAAATGCCTATCAATTGATGTTTGAGTTCTAATATGGTTTACCTGCAATAAGAATCGGACTAGTTAGTGATGGAAATGAGAATAGTATGAGGGATGTAGTGAATAAAAGAGTTAGACGACAGTCACTCGTCAAAATGATAACTGATTTCCGTGAATCACGATGTTAACTGCGACAGAATGGTATTGGAATATATTCGTGTGTTCAAAATCAGGAGAACGTCACATATTTTCCAAATATATATGGGAGTTAATAACCTGTAAACACATTTGTGAATGTGGTATGCAAAGGAATATACAGGACAATGATTCAGCTAGCTTCCTGACAGTGTAATAGTCATTACACACTGTTTGCATACGCATAAATCTGACAGTAAATTTCCAACATTTTTTAAATTAAAAGAAGCTATGTGTGTGCACCTGTCGAAAGACTTAATTTGGTTTCATGAACTCACTTACGTACCTACTAACGCGCGTACTTACTTACTCACTTACTTACGTACTCAATTACTCACCTACTTACTTACATTCGCCTGTTACTCCCAATGCAGCATAGGCCGCCGAACATCATTCTCCACATGAAGATTGAATGTGATATTAAAGAGTTTTGTCTCTCATAAACTACAGTTTGAATCTTCACAAACTTAAATCATCATTTTTATTACTTAATTCATATAAGCAAACATGGATAGTCGCTAGCAGTGAAATCCAGCACAAGCGTTTCCTTCTATTTGGGACTCGTCAGCTGGATGTACCTACATCTCAGACTTGATATTCACTCTGGACTCAAANNNACAATACAATCTTACTTCATAATTTTTAGTAAAATCATTGCTGTCATACATCTTCTTATTAAGTGATAGATCATTAGCATAATGCAAATTACGGACATTAGAAAGTTCCTATAACTGTTCCATGCCTATATTAGTTAGGACTGACACGAAATTGTTTTACTGGATTATCGACTTACATAATCATAATTTTAGCCAGACACTATCAGCAACAAGTTACTGTGGGAGAGAACAAAACAGAATCCAGTGGAGGAAGAAGTCAGGAAGAAGTGCTGGAAGTGGATAGAACACACATTGAGGAAATCACCCAGTTTCGCCACAAGACAAGCCCTCACATGGAATCCTGAAGGCCTAAGGAGAAGAGGAAGACCAAAGAACACATTACGCCGAAAAATGGAGACAGACATGAGAAGAATGAACAACAGGTGGATAGAATTAGAAAGGAGGGCCCAGGACAGAGTGGGTTGGAGAATGATGGTCGGCGGCCTACGCTCCGTTGGGAGATACAAGCGTAAGTAAGTAAGCAATAACCATAATTTTGTTCGATTAATTCAATTTGCAACACGACTTTAATTAAAAATTGTGAGACGTAATTTTACAATACTTTGCCATGAATCTGTAGATGGCGTCGAGTCTCGATTAACTATGATCGCCACTACAATAAGATTACGTGCCAAAAAACGACTTGGTTCCTTCGATAAGTCAAAAACCAGAAGGCTGTAATTGGTTCAGATAAAGTATATTTATGTACGATCTCGTGGTATCAAAATAATACCGAGATGTGCCAAACAGTACAGGTAAAAAGAGCAGAGCGTAAGAAAGTTCAAACGAACAAGATGGACAACGGAACGAAAAGTGATTTTGATACAGTTAAACAAAAGCGAGTACAGTAAAACAATCACTAGAACAATTGGTTATAATACTCATTGTTTCCATTATACCAATCGCGTTCTCGTCAAGAAAAGTAGGTCGCTACAAATCTATGATTTTGATCTTTTCTATAATATTAAGATTACAGTTTCATTTTATGATTAATTTCAATTAAAGAATTTAGATTCAAATATACAGAATCCCACAACAACCAATCAGATGACTAGAAATGATGTTTATTCAATCAGCTGATATGTTAATTGTATCCATGATGTTTTGATTGGTTAAATCAATTGATGAACTTGATTTAAAGTACAATAGTCCTCTAATTTATCTATTTATTGACCAATTCTCCTATTCACACATACTTTTTACTATTGTAACTATACAATGTATAAAAATGGTTATGCAATTGAAAGAATATTAAGATGTAAATTAGATAAAGATGATTTTGATCATTTACTATTCTGGTCTGGTTCTTTATGTCACTTAGATAATGATAAACCAGAATTTAAACATTTTATCATTGGTCAACAATGGTTATATACAATGAATCATCCACAAAGACAATTGGATAATATAATACATTTCAATGTATGATAGATAAGACAATTGGATTTCCTTTCCCTTTATAGTCAATTTTAGGTATTGAATGTATTGGGGATTTAGCTATGTTTCTAACATGTCAAATTACACGGAATTATAATCATATATGTATTGAATTTGTGAGTAAATTGAACCAACAACATCGTATAGGTGTTATATCTGTAAACAGAACGAAACAAAAAGTGAATGTAAGTAAGGATAAAAAGAGATTCCATAGTTGAAATCATGAGTCAATTGAAGATAGACTACCATGGAAACTTGGAAATACTGGACGGCCATTTCGTCCTTTATGTGGGACTCCTCAGCAGTGTGCACCCTTAATCCCGCCCCATCGAGATTCGAACCCAGGACCTACCAGTCTCGCTCCAGAGTACTTAACATCTAGACCGCTGAGCTGGCCGGCATCCAAAGGTGTTAATGTCTAACTTCAACCGATCCATGAAGAATTTCAACAATGTGTTTTGTAATGATGGGAAAAAATTGTAGTTCAAGTGGATGATTTTGGTGTTATTTAGTTCTTCGACCCAAACAGTTTAATAGAGGAGATTTGTTGTCGTTCTGGACTTTGCCATCAGAGCCTATGTCATTTTGAAATCAGCTGTTCAGTTATTGCATAAGCACTAAATTACGTCATTTAAATGACCTTGTTTGTGATTTTTTTTCTTCGTGTTTCGCACCTATCTTTCTTGTATTCCTTTTGATCTCATGGTTGATTAAATCTCTATAGTGTAGATAATCAGTGTATAGATTAATTGATTAGATCTACACTGTTGACTGACTTTAACATCATGCCTCTAGAAGTTCTCTATCATTTTGAAGATTCTCTCGATTGACAATTTTGAAGTTTTCACAGTTGAGTTCATCTCCACGGTTGGTCAACCATAAAGTACCATGACGTTTCACTGATCGTTTTTACTCGTGTGTACGTAAGTGAATGGGGAGTCTAATTTGTTCAAGTAAATTTTCTGTAGGTTGGTTTAATCTAATTTGTAGTTGAAGTTGTATTTGTATTCTTTCACTGTTGTGTCTTTTGGTCTGCATAGAATGGAATAAAGTGATTGTGATTGTTTGCGGAGCATATTGATCTGAAAAGGTTTTGAAATCCTTATGGTGATTTCTGACGTGGTTCCCACATATGACAGAGCGACTTTTTTCCTGGTATATGAGCTTCGTTTTATTCAAAACAAAAATGAAAGATTCACAATTTAGAACTGTGCTGGTAGCTCCTACGGGGGCCACTGCCGGTTCCAACCCCGGATAAAGGAGGAGGGTTGGGCATGGGGTTAGCGACCCATCCAGTAGAAAACTAACCCCCTAAGAAAACGCTAACCAGAAAAAATTATTCAAAACATTCAAAGTCTGCCATGGGAGTTGAAAGAATAATTATAGCGTCTCATAATGAAAACCGAGTTCTTTCGGAAGTCATGAGGCCGATGCACCTCCTTACAACCAGAGCAACAATTTTTATAGGTACATGGAATATCCGGACAATGTTGGGTTGATGAATGCTGGTTGGCGGCCTATGCTCCATTGGGAGTAACAGGCGCAAGTAAGCAAGTCACAATTTAGACCATCTAAATCGGAGAACTTAACAGCACCAAAATGTGTTTAGTATTTCGTCTAAAGTTCATCATCACTTTAGAAAAGATGCAAAATTTGAATGATATTAGTAACTGACAATATTTCTCAAATGTAAATCAATTGGTTTGTTCAAAAACGATTCCTTTATCTTCAGCTATCATTTCAGTCATTTCTTTATGAATTGAATCCTGGTAAGTCATTACATCTGATGTTGAGGTAGTTACAATTGAGTATTAAATATGTTTTTTACTGAAAATATAAATAATAATTAAATTATAAGGTAGCCAACTTACTCATACTGGTGACATGACTCAGAAACACAATGATAGGCTTATGGAGGGGGGATAGGATCTGACTCAAAACTTAGATCGTATGAATGGTTATTGTCAAAATATACATCCTGTTTATCCTCGTATGTAATACATGATGAATAACGAAGTTAAATAAGTCAAATACGGGAATGGATTTTGAATACATATACTTTGTACATTTATTGATCTGGACAGGAAATCATAGGGATGAAGCGAATAGAAGAGAGCGAAGCGAGAATAACGCACATCGTAGATGGTGGGTAAGCTAACTCTAGATAATGAAGCAAGAATGACGCACATTGGAGATGGCGGGTAAGCCAACTCGCTTCGACCAAATGTTAATCAATATTTATAGTCAGATAAAAATAGATGACAGATATGTGATGAGTAGGATAAGAAGGTGTACACACATATACGCTCATATAGAAATAGCCAGGGTCAATAAGTGAATAATTAACAAGGTGAAAACATGACTCAAGATAGATAGGTAAATTGGCTTGTCCCCGAAGCCAGAATAAGGTAGGTATATGAGCTTTACATATCAACCAACACTACAGGCTAATTCTTTTTTCTATGAATGTGACCTGTACAAAACACTTGAATGTCTTTTTGAAAAATAACATCAGTTATTTCATTAACCAACATGTAGGTTCAATGTTAGGGAACAACTGTGTTAATGCCTTCTGGTTTTAACGATGACCCAGCTAAAGTCATTCCATAATGTAAAACAACTACAAAATGTTTCTACTTTAAAGCAAATTCTTAGTTCAATTCATTTGTGAATTTTAATTTCCAATATAGTTTACAGATAAGATAGAAACAAAAGGAAAGCAATGTCCTATCAAAGACGATGGGAACATTTATCAACAAGATGAAATATTATCCTCTAAAGTTACGTAAGTTAAGTAAACATAAAGTGAGTCATAAATTTTTATCGTGGAAATCATGAATCAATTGAAGATAGACCACCATGGAAAACCTGGAAATACAGGACTGTCGTCTCGTCCTATTATGGGACTCTTCGACAGTGCATATTCACGATCCCGCCTAAGGGACTCGAACCCACAACCTATTAGTCTCGCGTGCGAGCGCTTAACCTCTAAACCATTGAGTCGGCATCCCATGGTGTTAATGTCTGACTTCCTGGGTCCTGGGTTCGAATCTCACGTGTCGGATCGTGGATGCGCACTGCTGTGGAGTCCCACAATAGAACGAAACGGCCGTCCAGTGCTTCCAGGTTTTCCATGGTGTTCCAGCTTCAATTGACTCATACTCTTAACTATTAAAACTACCATCACATCCACAAAAGTCCCTTTCTCATTTCTTTATATTTAGAGAAAACTAACATGATTCAACGATGACCATTCGAAAATTACACATCTATTTAACTGATACAAATTTTATTGGTTTTGATATTTTTCAAAAATCAATAAATAGATGGTATCAATCAAATAATGAATTTGGGTATATGATTACGAAGTTAATTCATTTAACCGATTTTCAACATCCCCTAACATCAAACAAACAATCCATCTCATCATTATCATCTTCACCACCTCCATCAGGTGATAATATTGAAACATTAATTGCCAAGGCAACTAGAAGAAACACTATAGTCTATTCAACAACAGCTGAAAATGAAGATTTACAACAGTTAATGAATATGTTTAAACCATTCTTTAAAAGTGATACCATAATATCCATGGATACAAATGTAGCACGTTGTATTTCGACGTTTACTTGGGAGCAGGAGCGACCTGAAACAGCAACACAACAGTCAGGACAGACAAGTGCGTCTGAAGTGAGAACACGGTGTGATGGTGCAGCAGATATATTTGAAATTGAAATACGCGGTTTTTAATACAAAAGGGGAAAGTTATTACAAAATAGTTTTACTCATTATTCTGCAGGTTCAGACGGCGTAGGGCTTGTTCTTCTTCTTCCAGTGCATTCACTCTTTGTTGTCCTGCAATGAGAAATACAAACACACATTATTAATGTTGCATGTAATGATTTTTATTACCGTTACACTACCCCCTCTCTCCATGAGGCACTGTCCTCAGTGCCTGGTTGCGGGCACGGGTATGCTATTCCTCCTTCTGGTGGCACCTCATAATGGCTGGTAGCCGTCGGGGGATTGACAAACGGAGTATCTAAGTGCACCGTTGTTTTATCCGGCTTCAGTTGGTTGTAGTGTGCTGTTAGAACGTCGTCTTGAGGTCGCTGGAGGTTGCGTAGGACGAATGTTGTAGGGGACCGAATAAATACGATTTCGTAAGGCCCTTTCCAAGGTTGGTGAAACTTGCCGCATGTTCCTGGTGGGGCCATAGGGCGATGTAGCCACACACGATCTCCAGGTTTATATACAGGCCCGTTCGCATGTCGATCGTACACATTCTTTTGGTGTTTGCTGGCATTTTGAAGATTAGCTTTAACTAGACGGTATGCGTCAGCTAGACGGCTACGAAGGTTACGGACGTATGGTACATAGTCTTGAGCTTCGAAAGGCAACAACGGCATTTGGATCTCTACAGGCAAGCGTAATTCATGTCCAAAGAGTAAAATCGCAGGTGAAAATCCCGTGGAACCGTGAACTGATGCGCGGTAAGCTAACAAGCATTGGGGTATTGCATCATCCCAGCATTCCGTCGACGAATTATTGATAAACGACTGTAGGAGGGTTTTAATGGTTCGGTTTGTTCTTTCTACTAAACCGTTACCTTCAGGGTGGTATGCAGTGGTATGTGTTTTGCGGATACCCAATAATCGGCATACCTGAGCGACGAGATGGCTTTCAAAAGCTGTACCTTGATCGGAATGGAGTGAGAAGGGAGCGCCATAACGGGAGACCCAATGATCAATGAAAGCTCGAGCGACTGTGAGGGCATCTTGTTGAGGTATAGGGACGGCTTCACACCATTTGCTAAAATAGTCCACCATCACCAGTATATAACGGTTTCCGTTCTTTGATGTTGTAAGTGGTCCCATGATATCGATACCGACTCGTTGATGTGGACCTTCTGTCGTCATTGGGACTAACGGTGCACGGGGTCTTTGCTGAGGTGACTTGATGGCATGGCACGTGCTACAATTTCTGCAGAATTCAGTCACGTCTTCATGGATGGATGGCCACCAAAACCTCTGGCAGATCGCATGTTCAGTTTTTCGTATCCCCGAGTGCCCGAGTTCTCGATGCACCTGCTCCATAATATTCTGAACTTGCACACGTGGTACTATCAACAGTGGTTGTTTTGACTCGCTGACTATAAATAGTGTGTCCCCATACAATCTCAGGCTACTCCACTTGGTGCAAAGACGGTGCGTCGCTGGGGAATGATCCTTTAACTCTGCCGCAGAAGGTTTATCGTTTCCGTGTAGTTGTCGTAGGTAAATGAACTGCAGGTCGGGGTCTGATGCTTGAAGAGACGGCCAGTCGATCTCTGGGGCTGTGCTAAGGACAGCACTAATGGTACTAGGAGCATAGGGTATACGGGACAGAGAGTCGGCGTTTGTGTGACGGCTGCCTGGTCGGTATTCGCAAGTAAAATCAAACTCCTGTAGTCGCTCTTGCCAGCGTGCCACTTGGCCTTCTGGTTCGCGGAAGGAGCGGAGCCATTGTAATGCACGGTGGTCTGTGCGTACACGGAAAGGTTTACCTAGTAAATAATGGCGGAAATGTTGTAAGAATTTTACTAATGCCAACATCTCTCGACGCGTTGTCGAATATCTTGTTTCGCTCTTATCCAGTCGACGGCTAGCGTACGCAATTACTCTTTCTTGCCCATCTGGGGCCACTTGTGATAGAACTGCTCCAATAGCGGAGGAACTGGCATCCGTATCAAGTATAAATTCTCCCCCGCTTGCTGAGGTATCTGGAACGGCTAATATAGGTGGAGAGCTTAGTCGTGTCTTCAAAGCATCGAACGCCTGTTGACACTCTGTAGTCCATAAAAATTTTCGTCCTTTGTGCGTCAAACGGTGTAAGGGTGCTGCTAACGATGCAAAGTCACGGACAAAGCGCCTGTAGTAAGAAGCTAGGCCAAGAAAGCTACGAACGTCTTCAGGTGATTTGGGCTGTGGCCAATTAACAATGACACGTGTCTTTTCTTTATCGGTGCCTACTCCATCTGCAGTAATACGATGTCCTAAGAAAACTACTTCTTTCTGCAGCAGGCGACATTTGGACGGTTTTACTTTTAGGTTGTGTTGTTGGAGGCGATGGAGAACCGCTTTCAGATTAGCATTATGTTGCTCGGGTGTGCTACCATACACAATAATGTCATCGAGATAAATCAAACATTTATGAGGTACTATATCTTGTAAAACTGTTTGCATTAACCTTTGGAAAGTAGCTGGGGCATTCGTTAGACCGAAAGGCACTACTTGGAATTCGTATAAACCATTTGGCACTACAAATGCGGTTTTCTTTCTATCTTGTGGTCTGACTTCCACCTGCCAGTACCCTGATGCTAGGTCTAACGTTGAAAACCAACATGCGCCACTCACAGCGTCTAATATAGAATCGATTCTCGGAAGAGGAAAAGAGTCACGCTTAGTTATGGCATTAAGGCGTCGATAGTCTATGCAGAGTCGCAGAGAGGAATCTTTCTTTTTAACCAGGACAATAGGTGATGCCCAGGGGGATGATGACGGTACTATGATATTCTTGTCAAGCATATCCTTAATCATCTTATCCAGCTGTGGTTGATAGTGTACTGGCACTCTACGAGGCGGTTGACGTAATGGCGTATGATCACCTGTGGGAATAGAGTGCTGTACCGTGGTCGTCCGATTACCAGAGATATTCTCTGAGAAAAGAGAACCAAATTTTTGAAGTAAGGAAATAGTTGATCGACGGACATCTTCGGTTACTTGTTCATTAGTTTGTACCTGGTGTATGACTTCCGACACCCCTACGTGAGCTACCGACTTAGTTGCGTTCTTAAGGCAATGTGTCGGAATAGTTACTTCTCCGATTCGAGCTTCCGCCTTAGCTACCTGTATAACGACGTCGTATTTTAACATAAAGTCAACTCCGAGTATAACATCCCAGGTGAGTGTGTGGCATACTAAAAATTCGTGTAGGAACGAGCGTTTATTCACTGTCACCTCCAAACACACCTTAGACCGTACTTCCAGAAGGTCACCACCGGCTGTTTTTAGTGTGGAGAAACATGGTTTTTGTCGGCTTATGCGATCCAGTGTGCTTAAAAACCCTTCTCTCACAATGGATACTGAGGCTCCTGTATCCAGTAAAATAATAGTCTGTATGCCCTGTAAACTACCAGCTATTGTTATCGGATATACTGATTCAGAATAATACGAAGACAAATGGGAAAATCTAGTCTCACCTTGTTTCCAAAAATTATTGTGCCCACATTTTCGGGCTTTCCGGCCAAAGCGTTGGCAGTAAAAACACTCCATCTTCCGGTTATGTTGATTAGTTCTTAGCGGCTGTCTCTCGGGGCGTCGTTTGACCGCGGAAATCGTTTGAGTGAAATCGGACTGATGGGTTTCTTCAGGCTGTTCAATAGCATTCGCTGACAAATGCGGTGTATTGACAGCGTTTAATAGCTTGTCTGCGGCCGCGAACCGTAGAATTGTGGTTCTTAAATCCTGAATGCTTTTTGGCGGCATGTAAAGAAGGTGCTGTCGTAGTGCACCCGGCAAAAGGCCTTCTGTGAACCGTGCGCGTATTATTTCTTCCCGTATAGAGACGTCTAAACTCGGGAAGGCTACAATTGCTGCCTGCTGCAAGGAGTGCAGGTATTCCATGGGGTCCTCACTTGCTTTCTGGTGACGCGACAGGAACTGCATGGTCCCCAGCTGTGTATCTACTGTTAGCGAAAAGCATTCATCAAGCACCTTCCAGTTTTGGGCAGACGAGTTACTTGCAGTGAAACCGTTGGTAATCGCCCTTTTTGCCGCTTCATCGTCTAGACACGACAGGAGATAGTCAAAATGTTCGGCAGCTGGGACCTTACGTAGATACGTCGTCATCCTGACCCTCCAAATGGCGTAGTCCGAAGAAACTCCCAGTAGTGGTGGCTGGCGGATGATTGCCCCGGTTGCTGGCTTGCTTGGAAGGACCGGTGGTTCCTCACAGTTTTCATCTCGTTTCGACGTAAACACCTCCATCACCACTTGTAGCACGTTGTATTTCGACGTTTACTTGGGAGCAGGAGCGACCTGAAACAGCAACACAACAGTCAGGACAGACAAGTGCGTCTGAAGTGAGAACACGGTGTGATGGTGCAGCAGATATATTTGAAATTGAAATACGCGGTTTTTAATACAAAAGGGGAAAGTTATTACAAAATAGTTTTACTCATTATTCTGCAGGTTCAGACGGCGTAGGGCTTGTTCTTCTTCTTCCAGTGCATTCACTCTTTGTTGTCCTGCAATGAGAAATACAAACACACATTATTAATGTTGCATGTAATGATTTTTATTACCGTTACAAAATAATACTCAAATTGATCATCATATTCTAACCTTGAATGACTATTTAAACAAATTTGATCGTTGGATTAATAAAACTAAAATGATCAATGAATCAATAAACAAAAGACGGGCAAAGTTCAATTATATTCATCTCATCAATGAACAGTTGATTCAGTTGGATAATCATTTAAGAGTCGTTTTCGAAAACTATCCTTTGTATACTTGTAAAGGATTACCTAATAAAGTCATTACAGTTATGGAACTTCTTGTAACTCAGGTAAGATCTTTCATGATATTTTGTTTCGGTAATGGAGTTGCTCAAATTACTTAAGCATGTCGTCTGTCTTCCATAGAGGTAAAATAGCATCCAGTTTAATGGAGTCGTCAGATTTCCTTTTTTTATAATCGATAAGTTTCATCATATTTGATCGGACTTTCACGGGGATCTGGCAGTAGACTAAAACATCCATTATCCAGTGATAGGTTTCACTTAAATAGTCATTAGATTTGACAGTGAATGATGTGCATCCAACCACCATGGGGAGCATCAGTTCCCTCAAAATTGTAGGCATGATGAAAAATGCTGAGAATTCTATATTAAATCAAAAATATAATATTGAATAATAATAATAATATCTAGATCTAAGTCCTCCTGCTGATTGCTTCGAACTAGCTTATACCTAATCAAATTCCCAGGGATATTGAATCATTTTGACCAATGGTCACATTACATTTTGATCAATAGAATTTCACTACCTCAAAGAAATCACCATCTCTAATCCAGTTTCTATTCATCGATTAACTAGTGAAGGTAAGAAGATACTTTTCTCAGCATTTGCCATTTTATTTTATATGCGACAATTTGATGTGTGGGCGAGGATGACAATGATTGGTTGTCATGATGAGTCAGACATTAGATAGAATGACAGGTGTTATATGTGTCATATATATATTCCCCTATCATTATTATTTATTAACTGTTCCTTGTTGATGGACACTTATTGATTGACTGTTCTTTGTGTGTGGAAATATATTGACGTTATAGTCAGGCTAATCTCGTGTTCTTGATCTGAGTTTGGGTTGAAGTCCTGTAGAATAGACACTGGGTGGGAATCTAGTGTAGATATTCGTCTAAGGTAAATTAGCGTCTCACATACGTGTAAAAAGTAAAAGGACAGTTATAACAAGAAACCCCTAAAGTTATAACTAGCACTCTCTCTCTTCTACGGTTATAACAATTGGCGACGGCATTCTTATTGTTATAACAAAACTACAGAACGTCTTCGTAAAATCTAAGATCTCTAAAGTAAGTACTTCATTAGCAAAATGTCAATCAATCGTGTAAAACTTCATTATTCTTTCGTTTTCACACCAATCATCCTCTTTTCTTCGATCTTCTCAACCTTCTACTGCCAGGTATTTTACTTTCGATTGATGATACATACTACTTATATCTGTTGACATCAATAGTGTTAGATCGGCTTACAATAAACTCTATCAGAGCCTCCAGAGAGGCTCATAAAGAGACCAACCAATCAGCGATTAGTTAGAAGCTATGCTACTAAAATGCTACTAAAATAACAAGGTCCTGATTGACTGTTAACATACTGTTACTATGGGATCTCAAGGTCTTTTAGCTACTATAAAACCCCTGTTTTTCTGTACATAATTGAACCTTGTAGTAAAGTGATTTCTCTGTTAATCGTGTCTTCTTACTGGTCTTTTAAGTCGCTGAGTAGTGCTAGCCTGGGGTTATCCGAATAGCTAGGATCCGAATAAAGCGTTCAACCTACGAGACATAACAAATTGGCGACGGGGTTAGCTTATCAAGATGCCATTTACCTTTGAACAAATTGAAGCCTTGCTGGAGCGTCAAGAGAAACGATTTGAGCAGTTCCAGGTTCGTATCATAGAGACTTTAACGCAGAAATTGAACCTAAGTCAATCTGGTGCTACAGATGATGCTGCCAAATCTAATGTCGACCACATTATTAATTCTATCCATGAGTTCAATTTTGATGGTTCGTCTGGTATTACTTTCGAAACCTGGTTCAAGAAATATGAAGATTTATTCAAGGTCGACCTCAGAAAACTTGATGACGCCGCAAAGGTTAGAATACTCTTAAGAAAACTTGGCACAGCTGAACATGAACGCTATAGTAATTTCATTCTCCCAAAGAACCCAAGAGATTTTACTTTTGATGAAACCATTGAGATTTTGTCACAAATTTTTGCTGAACAGTCGTCCCTATTTAATATTCGTTATCAATGTCTGAAGATAACAAAAGCAGCTGAGGATGACTGGGTGAAGCACGCAGGTTTAGTAAACCGTGAATGTGAACGTTTCAAATTATCAACTATGACAGAAGACCAGTTTAAATGTCTCGTATTCGTTTGTAGCCTCCAATCTTCCGATGATGCTGATATTAGAACCAGAATTTTGAGTAAAATCGAACAGTGCCCAAACATAACATTACAAGAAGTTACTACCGAGTGCCAAAGGTTAGTGAACTTGAAGCATGATACCTCAATGGTAGAAAAAGTTAACTGTTCCTATAATGTTAATGCAGTCAAGAGAAAATCCTTGCAAGGTTCCAGCACATGTAATTATCGTAATGACGGCGACAAACCATCATCTCCATGCTGGGCATGTGGAGGCTGGCACTATAAGAGGTCTTGCCCGTATAAAGATCATTGTTGTAGTAAGTGTCATCGAAAGGGCCATATAGAAACCAGCTGCAGGAAAAGAAACTATAAACGACATTTTGCAAAACATTACTGCAAGAAATACAGGTCTGGGGCATTAACAAAAAGAATATTGGTATCGCATAACAAAGCTCGAAGGTGCCACCAGAGAAAGTACGTGACCTTGAATATTAATAAACACCGTAGTCGACTTCAGCTTGATACAGCTTCTGACATTACTTTAATAAGCCCAGAAACTTGGAGGAAGATTGGGCGCCCCACAGTGCATCGAACAACACAACTAGCACACAGTGCATCCGGCGGAAAGTTAAATATTGTTGGGGAAATACCTTGCATTGTGTCTAAAGGGGAGGTTACGACAAATGCAACCATATACCTTACGAAGAACCCAGGACTCGACTTATTGGGTCTAAATCTTATAGAAACACTCAAGCTAGCAGAACATTCAATTAATAGCATCTGCAGACGAGTTACTTCTGATAACTCCTTAGAGAGTAGCCAGAAAAATACTGTGTTGCAAAGACATCACAAAGTGTTTAAAGAAGGATTAGGAGAATGCACGAAGGCTAAAGCAGTACTAACTTTAAAACCTGCAGTTACTCCCATTTTTCGACCTAAAAGACCTGTACCCTATGCTGCCCTCCCAGTGGTTGAACAAGAGATAGAACGACTTCAAAAATTGGGTGTCATTGAGCCAGTGAATTTCTCAGAATGGGCTGCACCTATAGTGGTAGTAAAGAAGACTAATGGTAGCATCCGTTTATGTGCCGATTACTCAACCGGGCTAAACGAAGCCCTAGAAACTCATCAGTATCCACTACCCCTACCTGAAGATCTTTTTGCTAAGCTGAATGATGGTAAGCTCTTTGCAAAGTTAGATTTATCGGAAGCTTATTTACAAATTCCGGTTGCTGATGAATGTAAAAATCTGCTCACCATAAACACATACAAGGGCCTATTCAGGTATAATCGACTACCTTTTGGAGTCAAGACGGCCTCATCTATATTTCAGCAAGTGATGGATACTATGCTACAGGATGTTCCAGGTGCTGCAGCCTATCTGGATGATATAATAATTATGGGAGTAGATAAAATAGACTTAGAAAAGAAGCTCGACCAGGTGCTGTCGCGAATAGCCGAATATGGATTTCGACTGCGTGCAGAGAAATGTAACTTTTGTATGAAAAAGGTAAGCTACCTCGGATTTATAATCGACAAAGATGGCAGAAGACCAGATCCAGAGAATACTCAGGCAGTGAAAACTATGCCTAGGCCAACGGACGTCCCTACACTACGATCCTTTCTGGGACTAGTTAGTCATTATGGAGCTTTTATTCCTAACCTTCATCACCTGCGTGCCCCCTTAAATAACCTTCTGGCGAAGAATGTAAAGTGGGATTGGTCTGCGGATTGTCAAGCCGCTTTCGAGGAAATCAAGAAAATACTAGTCTCGGATCTGCTGCTCACCCATGATGACCCATCCTTACCCATTGTAGTAGCATCAGATGCTTCAAACCATGGCATTGGAGCAGTTATTTCTCATATCATGCCAGACGGATCTGAAAAAGCCATATCGCATGCAGCTAGATCATTAACTACAGCAGAACGTAGCTACAGTCAGATCGAAAAGGAAGCATTGTCGATTATCTTTGCCATAAAAAAGTTTCACAAGATGATATTTGGACGCCAGTTCACCCTACTAACTGACCATAAACCATTGTTAGCCATTTTTGGGTCGAAGAAAGGTATCCCGGTATACACAGCAAGCAGACTGCAACGGTGGGGAACTACACTCTTAGGTTATGACTTTAAGATCAAGTACCAGCCCACTACTGATTTCGGACAAGCAGACGCTTTGTCTAGACTGATTGGTTCGCGAGTAAAACATGAAGAAGATACATTGGTAGCAGCAATTGAGAAGGAAGCAGAAGTACATCGAGTATTGGAAGACGCAGTCGATGGCTTACCAGTCACTTTCAAAGCTATCAAAGAAGCTACGATAAACGACAAGACATTAAGAGAAGTTAGTGGTTATCTCCTAACCAGGTGGCCGAACCGTCGTTTCCAAAGTGAGATGCTACAATATTTCCGCCGGCGAGACTCACTCATGATGGTCGACTCATGTATTATGTTTGGTGACAGAATTGTTGTTCCAAAAACATTACGCCACAGGGTTCTGAAACAATTCCACAGCGGCCATCCCGGGATCAATAAGATGAAAGCGTTGGCTCGAAGCTATGCTTACTGGCCTACAATGGATCAAGATATCGAAATCAAATGCCGTAATTGCTCGTCGTGCCTGCAAGCAGCTAAAAATCCAAAGAAGTGCGAACCACAACAATGGGAAAAACCTAATAGTCCATGGGAGAGGCTGCACGCCGATTTCGCTGGCCCAATAAGAGGAAGAATGTTTCTCGTCATAGTGGATGCACTCACAAAATGGCCACAAATCTATGCCATGGCAACGTGTACAGCCAGTGAAACGATCAGCAAGTTATTCGAACTGTTTAGTTGCTTTGGAGTTCCTGAGACTTTAGTGACCGATAATGGATCACAATTCACTGCAGATTCATTCAAGCACTTCTGCAACATTAATGGAATTGTACATATACGCTCTCCACCCTATCACCCTCAATCAAATGGACAGGCTGAGCGCTTCGTCGACACGTTCAAAAGAGCACTCCTGAAAGGGGATGGCGAGGGGACAAGTCAGGTAATTACGAGATTTCTAATAGCTTATAGAACTACGCCCAACCATATCGTCCCAGATGGAAAATCCCCTGCTGAAGCGATGTTCGGAAGAAAAATTCGAACTGTGTTTGACGCCATGTTGCCACCTAAACCAATGGTGGGACGCAGACAAAATCAGAACATCCGGAGTTTTAACGTCGGGGATAAAGTGCTCGTCAAATCATACAGCGAGAAAAAGCGTTGGGAACCTGGAGTCATTGTAAAGAGAATGGGAAATGTTCTTTACAAGGTGCGTGGGACTTTCGGAACGTGGATCAGACACATTAATCAAATACTCAGAGAAAAAAGGATCCTAGACACCGCAGATAGCCAAGAGAGGTTTCCGCTAGAAGTAGTTACAGATACTCCGGTGGCAAGAACCCCAACAGACACCCATAGACATGAAATACCAAGGAAGTCCGAACGCCACAGAAACCCTGTCACCAAACTGCAAGTAGACCCAAAGAAAAAATCTTATTCGGGGGAGGTGTTAGATCGGCTTACAATAAACTCTATCAGAGCCTCCAGAGAGGCTCATAAAGAGACCAACCAATCAGCGATTAGTTAGAAGCTATGCTACTAAAATGCTACTAAAATAACAAGGTCCTGATTGACTGTTAACATACTGTTACTATGGGATCTCAAGGTCTTTTAGCTACTATAAAACCCCTGTTTTTCTGTACATAATTGAACCTTGTAGTAAAGTGATTTCTCTGTTAATCGTGTCTTCTTACTGGTCTTTTAAGTCGCTGAGTAGTGCTAGCCTGGGGTTATCCGAATAGCTAGGATCCGAATAAAGCGTTCAACCTACGAGACATAACAAATAGTACACACCATATTATAATCAACCTCTGTTTTAAAACTATAACGTGTTGATTGAACTTGCCAATATCACTTAAATTGGTTCATAAATGTACTAAATGCATTTATTGTTCAAATTAATTCATTTTTAAATCCTCATTTTAAGCGCAAAATCATATAAATGAATATAAGATATTCATTTATGGGTTGTGAACATTGGATTTAGCCTTCCCCTTATTGTTTAAATGAATGTTCTTTTTCCAAGAACAATAACCCTTCATCTTGGTTAAAACTCACAATTGAAACAATGTAAAATAGAAATCATGAGATCATTATTAATCATGTGAATAAAAATGTTTGCCCAGTGTGTACATACACACACTCGTACACATGTACAATGTGACATTTTAATGATCATTTTAATATAAAATAACAAGAAACAATAAGTCGTCTACATAACGAACCCTTATTTTCACCTTGATCAATGGTAAGATCGAGGCTTCCAGTCTGTGCATCACTGCTTCTGTGTTATGTTGATGTTGAGTTAAGTAGACGATGGCAAGTTCGATTTCAACCATAACCATTCGGGATCAAGGTCGATAGGACAAGCTGTGGGTCGGACGCAGGAACGTTCGGACTTTTGACGTCTACCTGAAGTTTGTGATGGTGATGTTGTCGAGAAAGGCAATGAAGGCTCCACGACCAATTTATCCAGCTCAGAGAACAAACTCCACTAAAATTATCCACCTCAGCCACAAATCTTTTCCATCATCTCAAGATGATATAAGTATAGCATGCTTCTCGGTGTTCGAATATGGAGGAATTTTGCAAAAGACAGGCTTCCACTCTAACTTAAAACTCATTAAATAACACAATTGAAACAATGTAAAATAGAAATCATGAGATCATTATTAATCATGTGAATAAAAATGTTTGCCCAGTGTGTACATACACACACACACTCGTACAATGTAACATTTCAATGATCATTTTAATACAACATGAGGAGTTAAAACAAAAATTAAAAGTCAATAAGAGCATTAATGAATTCATAAGAAATCGAAGTCCCCAATTGAGTTTATAGAAAGTCAAACAACACTGAAATAAAAGTGTAAGTCCATTATTTAGAATCATGTTGGGGGGGGGGCTAGGATCTGACTCCTATTTAGATCTTATGAATGATTGTTGTCAAAATATGCAATCTGTCCATCCTCGTGTATGTAATACATGATTTAATCTGCATCCATGAATAACGGAGTTAAATAGGAGAATGGATTTTAAATATATATATTTTGTACATTTATTGATTTGGACAGGAAATCAGAGGGATGAAGCAAATAGAAGAGAGCGAAGCGAAAATGACACGCATCGGAGATGGTGGGTAAGCCAAGTCGCTTTAACAAATAGTTCATCAATATTTATAGTCAGACAAGAATAAATGACAAACATGTAATGAATAGGATAAGAAGGCGTACACACACATACACTCATACAAAAAAAGTGGCCAGGGTTAATAAGTGAATAATGAACAAGGTGAAAACATGATACAAGATGAATAGGGTAAATTGGCTTTTCCAGAAGCTACAATATGTTATATGGGCTTAACATATCAACTGACACTACAAATCACAAGGATCAGTTTGTACTATGAAGCAAATAAGTGTTATACTACTCGACATTTAACTAATAAACAGTTAAAAACACAATGTATAAATATTTACTAATAACTTTAAACACCTCCTATATTTATCATAGTCTCTAATCTAACTAAAATTGTTACATTACCTTTCTATTTTATTCCTTTAACGTTAAAACTATGATATTGATTTAGAGATATATAACATTATCAGAAGGGGGTTTCGTGGAGATTTTACTCAATTGAAGCTAGACCACCATGGAAAACCTGCAAGCACTTGATGGTCGTTCCGTCCTATTGTGGGACTCCTCCTTGGCAGTGCGCATCCTTGTTCCCGCCACACGAGATTCGAACACAGGACAATATTACAGTGTACATAGTAAACAGGAAAGTAATCACAAATTCATTACTCAGTAAGAAATACGAGATTTAAAGTAAAAAAAATATAAATATCCTCGTCATCAATTGCTGTGGTAATCATAGTGTAGTGAACAAGAACACAATTGGGGACAATCGAATGCATTCAGGCACTAATTACAGACTATCTCACTAAATTCTGACAACCATACAGTAAACAGTTAATTTGCAAACTATCAATGAATTGTGTCAATCTTAACTGTTCCTTCAGCAAGTACCAGTCCTTCTTCTCCGATTTCATTGTTCATGCATTTTCATACCGATTGCGTGCCGTTCCCGTTCTCTCCTTATCGACCTTCTACTGAAATGTATTCAGTGCCCGACCAACACCATATACTACTTATGTGGATATAAGTAAGTCACACCACAATATTATACACCATTCTGCAAACTGTCGTGTATAATTTAGTTCATTTGATTAGTAGTTTCTGGCATCAGATTTCTTTACAACAACTATTCTTCTCAAAAATTAATGATAGAAAATTATGTACTTATAATGTAAGATAACAGAAATTAGTCAATGTATTTATAGGCTGAAAATAATCAGTCTTTCATTTAGAGCAAGTATTATGTAAGCTTGTGTTTTTATGATAAGCATAATCATATTACTCTTTATTAAGATGCCCTTTTAACACTATTATTTCATTTTGATAGATTTGTATTGACCTACTTTTTTGACGAGAACGCGATTTGTATAATGGAAACAGTTATTATCATTATTACCAGTTGTACCAGTGATTGTCTTACTGTACTCGTTTTGTTTAACTGTACCAAAGACTTTTCCTTCCGTTACCTGTGACCTTGCACGAACTTGAGTACGCTTGGCAATTCCGCCCGTAAACTTTGACACGTCTCGGTATTCTTTCGATACCACGAGATCGCCAATAAATATATCCTATTGAAACTATCAACAGCCTTCTGGTTTTAGCGCTCGGTCATACATCCGCACCAGATCACGAGTGTGAACGCCATGTTCAACTTCTCCTGTGATCACTAGCCCGTTTAGATCAGTCACTTCTCGATATATTGATAATCTATCAAATTATTCTTCCAACCTCCTAACTTTAGCCTTTTGATTTCACCAGTTCAGTTATAGGTGTTGCTGGTAAAGTGTTGTCAAACTAAGATACCTGTGACATCATCAACAGACATAACAAAAAAAGATGAATGATTATCACTCGTGGCGCTGCAAAGGTCTTCATGAGTGCGGTAAGAAGGTTCTCAGTCATCTTATGCACTGAGATACGAGTAGGGAAATAAACGTGACTCCCTCATCCAAAATGTCAGAATTCAGCTGACGTAAAATAGCTTGGCGAGTTGCGTTTCCTGTTTATTTAGCTACTACTTCCAGCATAATAAAGGTCATTTCTTAAGTCAAGATCACTATTAAATCTTACTTGTTTCCTAAGAAGCGATCCTGAACAACTGAGAGCACACAATCAGGAAGCCTGGACAAGTATAGTGCTTCTTGGAGGTTATATTCACAACACATATAACCTTCAAGAACTAAAGCGTGCTCAGAGACAAAGCTTGTGAACGGAAAAAATAATCAAAGACGATGAAACAATCAGAAGCAACAAAGTTCTGTGTTGGAAATAACAGCAGCGTAATGGCTAGTGATAAAGCACTAAATTACCACACTTGCGACAATGAGTTACGCTTCGTTGATGATCAGAACTATAAAACTACAGTACAGTCAGCTCGCCATCATCCTAGCATGACACATGATATAGAGAGAAAATCAGGAATAGATCATTGTGAAAGTTAATCAATGACAAATCACAAGTAACGAAAAAGATAAGTACATTTCTTTGGCTATGAAATAGTCCGGTTTCCTAAGGATTAGAGTGGTATATGTATGAGTGAGCATTTGTGCATTTTATTCGTCAACACAATACACGTTTTGCTCACCAATGTGTTCTCGCTCAAGTAGTCGGTTGGGGGGAAGGTTTAGCTCGTTATACACCGTATATATGACTTGGAGAAATAGGGGTGCTTTTGAGGAAAATTAACCCCTTCGTCAAACCCGTCGACAAACTCAAAGAATCTGTAGGCTGATACGGCAGATTGTCTTCTCAATACATAGTATCACAGCTTCATTTTAGAAATGTCGAAAGGCTGAATTACCTGTATCAGTCCTGCCAAGGACGGTCTCTCATTGGATCAATTTTCCTTTGGAATGTATAGACTGACCTCTCTTCAGTCATGTGTTGAGATGATGCGTTCCACTAGTTGATGATTCAGTGAGAAGGTCAATAGTCAACTAACAAGTAATTTCTTGTGGGCTCGTGAACATTTTTTGGAGTATACCAGCAAAATTTTCTGCTTTGGAAGATAAGAGACGTGAGAGCATATCGTATGTAAAGTTACCAAAAAATAGTTTTAAAATTCCAACTAAGTCACCTCTGTCACTTCTATATGAAAAAGATGATGGGTTTAGTTTAGCCAGTTTATCGTCATACGGGAGTTTGCAATTATGCATATCAACTAGGCTGATACTCTTTTAAACTTTCCAGCCATTTGCTGTCCATTCTTAAGCAGAGGTTGGCTCCTTGAATGTAATATTTGCGTTTAGGTTTAACGAAAAACGAATAAGAAATCAAAATGGTTTTATTATCGATATGTCTAAAGGTTCTTCGCATTGACATGACGGTTCTGAAACTTTTGATGAGCATTTCACGGCCGTGTGAGGAAGTATACCCTACGATTATTGTTAAGTCAGTATGTATCTGGACAACAAGTAGTCAATGTTATTCAATATCCACGTATCTTGGTGGCCAAATTGCATCATAATGTACTTGAATACATTTGTTCACAAATCACAAATAACCATGCTATCTATCAGAAAAGTCTCTGCTTTGTCT